GTTCGACCAACTGGAGTGCCGATCTCATGAAACGGAGGCCAAAAATGGACTCTGGACGGAAAATCGAGCCAAATGGTGTGGAGAGCGTTCGGTTTTGAGCGGCCACGACTTTCCAGCCACCATGGACGGAGGCCGGCGGCGGCGGTCCAATGATTGGCCGGCGACACTCTGGCAAGGCCCCGTGATACAGAATTCTCTTCTCTTCGCGCCCGATCATGGAATCGTCGTCCGATTCTTAATTGGTACATTCTAAGACCAATTTCTCCATTTTCGGTATAACTTCTAAACTTAGTAATTATTAGTTAATTAAATTGAATTTGAATGAATTAATTCATATATTATATATAAGCTAGGTTGAGAAGGACCCATTTATTTTGAAGCTAGGTTGAGAAGGACCCTTATTTTGACGATACAGCGTATTTTGAATAATTGAGGACATTTAAAATAAACTAAATACATAGGAATTGAATATATATTTAAGGGCGAGCTCTCTATGAATTACTTAAATAGATTAAATGTATATCAATTTTAAATTTTAGTTTTATATTGAAAGATTTTTTGATTTATATTCTTTAAGCAACTTAATGTTTTAATAATTTGATAAAATGGTGTAAATCACTGTTTTGATTGAGTCACCATTCATTCGTATAAGCATCAAAGATGAAGGAAATGAAAGGTTTGAATTAAAGGGGATGTTTGTCTTCTAATCAATTTTTAAGGTTAGGTAACTTGTCAACGAAATGGATGGTTAATTACTTATTGATTTAAACAAGTTTAATTTATAAATTGTTACATTATTTATGTATAATTAGTTAGTTTAGAATTTATTTATTAAAAAGTAATAAAAAGAGTTGTTTAGAAACATGGTTTTGGAAAAGGTTATTAATAAAATTTCGGTAAAATCTTTAATTTGGATGCAAATGTTGATTCATGGTTGTTTTGAAAGGAGGATGGGGGATATCAAAGCTAGATTTGATCTTGACTTCGTATGCGGAATATGGGCGTGTGTATTGAATGATAAATAAAATCACTAAATAATTATATATCTATTAATACTTGTGTTATCTTAAAAAAATCAAGTGGATAGTTCCAAAATCTTTATGGGGAAAATTGTGCTCCCATTGAAACTTTTCGGAAGTAGAACCTAAGGTCAAATTAATTAATTATAGTTTTTATTTATTACGAAAATTCTATAACTTGTATTATAATAATAAGATAAAAGTTGCTCACTAAATTAATATTATTATTATTATTATTATTACACTATTATTATATCTTAATTTTAATTATTCATTATTTATTATTTCATCAATTGTTGTTTTATTGTTAATTTTATTTATTTTATTTATTTGCAATTTGATGTATTGGAGGTCAAATTTTGTGCAATTGCATTACAATGTATATAATTAATTAATATGCTTTGTATGTAATGCGATGCTTGATTATTGTGTTTGTAATAATGCTTCTAATGCCTTTTGGTTTTGTTGACGGTAATTGGGTATTAGAAGTGTTTTTAGCTACACCAATCGCGGTTTGTGTGGAGGCCGTTAAACCAGGTAAAATTTTTTTAAAATGTTATAATATGGATTCCTGATTATGAATTACACTTCGTTAACCTTTCTCTGTGATTTTTGTTTTATATGTTTTTGGAAATTCTCTGATTTAATTTTATTATTGTTCTCTTGTTTAGCTTTTTCGATATAAGGTAGGTGGATGATCAAGTCGAGCGGCCCTAAGTGTTGTACCATACCCGTTTAACCTAATTAACTGCTTATCTTTATTACCACTTTAGGTTTAAATAGACCTGCTTTATAATTTTGTTTGGCGCCACTCCTGATAATCTAGATTTGATTGTAGCCCACAGGTTGGCCTCCTGTTGTGAGCACCTGAATATCTAGATTGGATGAGACCACTGGGTTGTTTCTGTTGGTAATATATATATATATATATATATATATATATAGTATATATTATTTAATATTATATAATATATTTTTATTTATAAATATATATTTATTTAACAAATAGAGAGAAAACAAAGGCGAGGAAAAAAAAGAACATGAGAGGACTGGTCGTGCGAGGAATTGAAGTAATTAAGTGATCCAAGTTACCGGGTATTTGGGACTAATATAAAAAGAGGGCATAGTCCTAAAACTTGTTGTGGGCGCGCGATTTGGCCTCGCGTGGTCGCATTTAACACCGTGAGTGGATGAGGCTATGTGGGAAGTAAACGACTCATCGAGGTATCGGTGACCGGAGCACTAACTGGGAAACTAGTACTTAATTTCCAACGTTGATGTGGAGTTAAATGTAGAAGAATAAATAATATGGTGTGAGTGCTGGTCCACACCTAATATGAACAATGTTGTGATGATTCTGGCTTGGAATTGGCCTGTCGTTGAGCAAATAACTAGTCGGATGACTATTGCATTGAATATATTTATACATTTGTGTTGAAAATTCATTTGTGTTTGTGTGAGCACTTGATGATTCTTAAGAATTGGATTGTGAACGACCAACTGGGGTTTGTGTTTCTTCTGTTTTGGTTCAATACTTAATATTATATATATTATATATAAATAAAATTTAAATATATATATAAAAATAATAGAGGGAGGGGGAATATAAAATTTACTAATATAGGGATAGCTCTATATATTATTAATATTGAGTAAGAGACTTTTATGGATTATAAATAATGGACTAGATTGATATATTATACCATATTGTGTGAATCATAGTGTTCTTTGCAATAAAGGTATTAAACTATTCTTAGAAAGGTCTTCTACATTAATCTTATTTAATTTTTTTAGGAAGTAAGTTTTCTCTTTAATCTGTTATATGTTACTAAGTTCTTTATTCGTAGGGTCTAGAAGATTAAATTTTCTCTTTAAGTTCGCAATAAATTATTATACTATTGTAAAAGGGAAAAATTGTTGTACTATAAAAAAGCTATATATTTTAAATTTTTCTCAAATATTGTCTAGTTGAAACTCCGCAGTTGTAGAAATTGCGAACAATTTAAGTCGTGTAATTAACATAGACGATATAATTATGTTGAGGCGCCATATTAAAAATTGTGATGTAATTTGTTAATTTTTGGGAATTCCCGAATCGGGCGGGATGGAATGTTGTAGCTTGATAAATTAATGGGAGTTCCAATGATTTAATTATAATCATTTATATAATATTGTGTTTTTATATTTTTCCTATTAAAATAAAGTATGGGTCATGAATTGATTTAAAAATTATATTGAGATAGTAAATTGTTTAGTGTTTTCAGGCCTACTAAGGGCCTCGGGCCCCTTAAACTTACCTAGGCCTCTAGTGAGCACGATAATTACGACCTTCAAAGATTTTTATTATCAATTTTTTGCAAAGAGGTTACTTTGGCCCTATTTGAGAATCGTGAGTCGTGACAATACCTAACACTATTTATTTGTTCTTTATGTTGTATATAAGAAGGTTGACTCTACGTAGTTTATATAGTAACTTGGGAGATTTAGAGCTATCTATTTTTTCATGAATACAAAATTCCATAGTTTAATTGCAATTCTAACTTAGCACAAAACTTTTTTAGAAGTATTATTAAAACTGTGAAATATTTAATTTTTAATTTATAATTTACGTTAGTGATTGTAAAAAAAAGGTTATCCGGAAATTAGAAACTTGCCGGTTGGTATATTTTGGAAATTAAATAGCTTAACTCTATTTTTTTTACAATTAATTTTAGAATTATTTTTATAATTTGGATTAGTTCTTATGAAATATCCATTGGGAACAAGGATGTGCAAAACCGGTCCGTACCTAAAATAAAGTCCAAAAAGAAATTTTGTATTTGGTTCTAAAAATACACATCAATTCAAATCAAAACTGATTAGTATCATGCGTATAAATCGACTAAATTATATACGTTAATGGGTAGATTCCATTTCACACATATAATTTTTTAGTATATTTTGTATGGCTTATAGGTTGTGAGTGTCAAGATTTTTCATTTTTTTATTTTTTATGGGAGGGTTTTTCAATTTGAGAAAAAATTAAAATTAACCCTATAGCAGGTAAACTGAAAAACAAAATTTATTTTAAAATTCTATTTTTTGATTAAAATAAAAAAAAATCGGGCCAAATTCACCATGAAGGCGAGGAATAAAACCAAAACTAAAATTGATCGGTTTGATTTAGTGGTGGATTTTTTTGCGCGAAGATATGAGGAGTATATAGCGAACTAAGTCCCAAAAAGAGAAGCCAATTAAAGAAAAATACATATATAATATAGTGAATAAATAATGAAAAAGAATAGAGAAAAATTGGAAAGAAAATTATATTGAGATAGTAAATTTTTAGTGTTTCAGGCTTACTACGGGCCTCGGGGCCTTAAACTTACCTAGGCTCTAGTGCCGGTCTGGCCCATGAAATCGTGTCGTGACAACCACCATTTTTCTTTATGGTATTGAAGGTTGACTCTACGTAGTATAAGTACTGCATCTATTTTTAGATACCAAACCATAGTTATCATTCAATTAGCACAAAACTTTTTAGTAATAAATGTGAATATTAATTTATTAATTACGTTGTGATTGTAAAAAAATAGGTTATGGAAATAGAAACTCCCGTTGTTATTTTATTATATAGCTATCTTTTTTAATAATTGAATATTTTATAATTGATTGTCTTATGATATCCATAACAAGGATGTGCAAACCGTCGACTAAATAAAGTCAAAAAGATTTGATTTTCTAAAACATAATTCAAATCAAACTGATTAGTTCATGTAATCGAATCAAATCGAATTGATTCCATTAAATTTAATTTTAGTATATTTTGTACTTAATTGTGTTCGATTTTCATTTTTTTTAGGTTTTTCAATTTGAGAAAATAAAAACCAAGCAAAACTGAAAAAAAATTCTATTTTTTGATTAAAATAAAAAATCGGGCCAAATTCCATAAGCGGAATAAACCAAACTAAATTGATCGGTTTGATTTAGTGGGTTTTGAGATATGAGGAGTTATGGCACTAGTCAAAAGAGAAGCATTAAAGAAAATACATAAAATGTGATAAATATGAAAAGAATAGAGGAAAAATAAAAAAAAAAACATTCATTTGCTTAGCCAATTGAGGCAGTGAAAATGATAAAATAAATGGAAAATAGTCAAAAGAGAAACCTAACTTTCCCTTTGATTAATTGATATATATATATATATAAACTATATCAAGGCTTATGGAAGTATCTTCCAGCAAGCAAAGCAGCCTCCATGACTAAAGAGATGATATCAATAACCTCATCAACTTGGCATTTGTTCCCTTTAAATGTATGACCTCCTGTGTTCTTGAAATTTGTCATGCAGTTGATGAAGTTTTGGCTGCACTCTTGGCTAAGATACCCATCTGCATCCACCACCATCATTATATTTAATTATTCTTTTTCAAATTATTATTTTCACATGCAACCATACAGATCTTTCTCTCTCCATATGACAATGAAATTACAAAGTTTGTAGCCGTCCATGTCCTCACCCTAGAATTTATAGAGTCAGCAAATGTAATTATGAAACCCAAATAAAAACAAAGGTGTTTTCACCAATGGTAAGTCTAAAGGAAAGATAATCATGTGCCGTGCGTTCACATGGTTCTATCATGTATCGGACTTCTCATTAAATAAATAAATAAATAATATTTTTTTTTTTTTAATTCATTAAAAGGTTTTATGGATCGAAATAACACTTCAGGCTACACAATAGGGATAGTCATTTCCTGGGCTCACAAAATTGATGAAAATAACTATAGTCGAAAAAGACTCAAATTCAAAACCTATGACTCTTCATCTAAACTCACTCTTCATCTAAACGAGAAGACCAATCAGTCCATTACTAAAAAAATATGTTCAAATTTAACTAAATGTGTAAGAAATAAATGTATAAATAACCAACTATTATATATATATATTTTTTAAATTATCTACAAATGAGTGCTTTTGCGCAATCAGCATTAAGGTTTTGGATACACTCTTTAGCAACTTTTAATATAAAAGCATTGTCAGAATTAAAAAATAATAGTAATCATCATCACACCAAATTCATATGAATACTGATTAAGCTATCAACATTGGATATGCTAACCAAGTTTATTCTTTAATGGCACATCCTTGTGTTCAATATAATTTTAAAAGTACTAATTTAATAAACAAGTTAAGCTTTGATTTCACATTCTGAGTTTATGAAGGGGTAGCTTATTCAAGTTCGATTTTTCAAACTAAACTCTATTCAAGCTCGAGTTAATATCTTTATAGAGCCGAACTCGAAATCAATAAAGTTTAACTCCGTGTTGGTTCGACTTTTTTATAGTCTTAATTGTGCTAGTAGCTCCTGATTACGTAAGTATATCATAATTAACTTGAGACATTTCAATAAATGCCATCTTGAAATTGAGCTAAAGAAATGTCCAAATCGGTTTAAATTCAATTCATCCAAATCAAATCTAACCCTAATTTTGAAACCCAAAGAAAGAAGAGCAATAAAGAATTGGTAATTGTACTTACTGTTCTTAGCTTGTACACAGGCATCATGTTTCATACAACAAGCATCGAGCCCATCACAAGGTCTCTCTCCTGGACATCCACTATATAATAACCCACAATATTTGCCATATCTCAAAAATGGAGGCACTGAAACAAATCAACACTAGTTAATTTTCAATTTAATTAAAATTCTTTAATAATAACAAAAACCCATTAGTCAAAACCTAAAAACAGAACAATTACAGTACAAACTTACCAGAGCAGAACTCAGATTCACATTTCCTACTGCATTCTTTACTCTGAGAAAAGAAAAGAAACAGAGTTTTGAAGTTTTCTTTCATAATTAGAGATTTATTTTATAAAAGAAGAGAGAGCAGAAACTGAAACAAACCACAGAAACGGAGGCATCTGCTCTTTGAACACCAATGTTAAGCGCATGGATAGGAACAGAGGAGAAGAAGAAGAAAAAGGCAAGAAGATGAGCTACTAACTGCAATGACTGGCTGATATTTGCCATTGTTTACAGATTTGAAGAGTATATGAAGCTTGGTTTTGCCCAAAAGGCTCTGATTTTATAGAGGTAATCTAGTTTTTTATGGCTATTGAAAGAAAAACTTAGGATGTAGGGAAGAAACAAAGGAGGTTGAGATTTGTCTTGTAATGTCTCGTGAAGGGTTTTTGGATTGTAGTTCACACTTAACATTTCACACCCAAAAAACACTTCATTGCCAAATAAAGAAATAAACTCTAAACAAAATCCCAATATCTCTCCCTTAATTTGAACTTATTTTATCTTATTTTTCTAATGAAAAAGTGCCTAAACTTTGTAATTTCTTGCAATTAGACACCAATAGTCAGTTGGATTTCAAATTGAATCGAATTTCTGTAATATAAATAAATCAAATTGTTACTTTAATCGAATGAATAAGTTGGATTTCATCCTTTAAACTTTTTACTTTCATTCCGCGGTACTCTCAATTTTTACTTTTAACCCATCAAATACTTTAATTTATAAAACTATACCTATTAAAAAATTAAATTTCCAATATTATTTTATTCAACACTTCAACTTGTAAAATTAGATTTATTAAAAAATTATAAATTTTTAAAATTATTGTTCAAAAAGTCATACTAACAACATATCAAATCGATATTTTATAGATAAAAGTAAAAAATTCTAAAAATTATTAATATTAATGTAAAAAGATTTAAAATGTTTTCAAATTTTATAATTTCACATATACGTTATGTCATTTGTAAAATGAAGAATGACATAAAGTTAAAACTTTAAAATTAGGTATAACTAATATATTCAGTCAATTTTAAAATAATTCTTATGTCAAATAAAGATTTGTCTTTAGTAGTTCAAATCGGTCAAAATGTCAATTGCCGTAATGAACGCTTTCAACCTTTACACAATACAGTACTTATTGTCTCTATTAACATTTTGGTGAAAAGTACGAAGGGACTCAATTATTTGGTATAAAGAAAGGACTAATACTTTATAATATAGTTCAATAGTTTGGTCATTTGCAAACTTGGAGAGCTCAAAATATTAACTTTGGAAAATAAATGGACAAAGTAATAATATAGTTAAACGATTTATGATAATGTAATAAGGCTTAATTTATCCTCTGAAATTAGGAATAATGCATAATTTGCTTAGAAAAGAGATTTTTTTTTATATAATTTATCTCTAAATTTGCACCAAGAAAATAAAAACTCAAATTAAAAAAAAATTTGCGAGAATCAAAATTTTGATTTAAATCAAATATAATTAAAAACAATATAATTTTTTATTTAAATCGAATATAATTAAAAATAATAGAATATTTAATTTAAATTGAATATAATTCTAATATAATTAAACAAAGAATAATGAATATTTTCAAAACAAATATTCAATATAATTAAATATCTTCTAATTTTATAATTTTTTAAATGAAATATTTTTTAATTACATTGTAATTTTTTATAATTAACTATTGTTTTTTTTATTTTTAAGTTCTAAACTTTTAAATATTTTTTGTTAATTAAAATACTAAAATTATATTCTTTTTAAAAAATAGGTTGTTTTTTCTTTTGATACAAGTTCAGAGGTAAATTGTAAAAAAAAATTTATTTTTAGGCAAATTATACATTGCTTTCCAATTTAAAGGACAAATTGAACATTATTTCTATAATAATTTATCCTAATTACAAAAAAAAAATTTCTTTTTTGTTTTGTAAAATTTCCAGTTGTTTTAATTAGAGTTAGTTTCCAATGTAAAGGGAGATCAACCCTCTTAACAGGGAAGGGGAGCTAACTAATTATAAGGATGGAGGAGAGGCAATAGTTTTTACACTTTGCTGAATACATAAGTTTTCTCATTTAATTTTTTTATTTTAATATTATAGTACTCTCAACTTTTATTTTGACCCGTCAATATTCCACTTTGCAAAATAATTTTTATTAAATATTTTAACTTATAAAATTAAATCGACTAAATACTTATTAGATAGTTAAAAATATAAAAATTATTATTTTAAAAGTTATGCTAACTGCATATCAAATCTATTTTATATATAAAAATTAAAATTCTCTAAAAACTATTATTGTTAGTATGCAAAAAGATATAATGTTACTAAAATTTTATGCATCCAAGTGCATGAATGTGACTAAAAAGATACAATGGTACTGAAATTTAAAAATTTGTCCATATTATTGGCAGAGCCACATATGGTTGAGGGAGTGCATGACTTGAAAATTTTCTCTGAGGAACTGTTAATTATAGAATTAACCCTTAAATTATTATATTTATAAATTGTGAACCTCCTTAAATTAGTTTGAGTACCTTTTTAAATATCAAAAAAAAAATTAAATTGATATTTTCAAGAGACAAGAGTTAGTTAAAACTGAGAGGCATATTATTTATTCATTAGTGTACTAACTTGTTAATTTAGCATTAGTTTTACTTGTTGCCACAAAGACCGTAAAAAAAGCATTTTCTGGGAATAAGATCCTAAATAATTGGTTGTGCAATCGGATATAAGATATTTTATGAATGATTATTTAATTATTTATATAGAAGAGAGACATTTTGTAGCATTCCCAGTGAGCTAATTATCGAGCGGTTTCAAAATATTGAATAATATAGACGAAAAATGTGATTTTTTTTTAAAAAAAATTCATATAATTTTTTTTGAATCGTGAAGGTAGATTTTTATTACATAATTTAATCTATTTTTAAATTTTTTATATTAAAAAATATATATTATATATAAGTGCTCTCCGTGACCCTAGGGTCTTAGCTCTGCCACCTGTCCTACTCATTTGTTTAATCCCTCTAATTTTAAAAGCCCGCCCCTGAATGATATTGTGAAGGTGAAAATAAGAAATGGGAAGAAATTTGGAAGTAGTTGCGGGATCCAACTCAAGCGAACAATGCCCTTCCAACAAACTTCCCCAATCAAATGGTTTCCCTAGATGGATTAAATCCTTTAAAAGGACTATATTTACAAGCAGAAGCAAAGGATTAGATTAAGCAGTTTCTTCTTAATTACTTCTTTCTAATCAGCTATTATGTCCTCACAATGTTTCTGCGCTGCATTACTTGTATTAATTAACAATGTGACAACAAATCTTGAATATCTAAGATAAATGGTGAGAGAGTGCCACGTCACTCCTATCCCAAAAGTTTTTTCTTTGCTTATTATATAAACATTAAGGCTTAATCTGCTCGAATTTTGACAATTTGTCGAAAAATTAACTTTTTGTACAATTTATCTTTGAACTTACATCAAAAAATTTTTTTTTTCTTTTCTACTTTATCCCTAATTTTAAAATTTTTTCGAGCCCTATGTATATAAAAGAAAGATAGTTGTGGAGAAAAGAAACTAGATGAGCAATATCAAAATGAGTGGAAGTCTACCATTAATAGTGTTGACCCAAGAGATTCTCATTCAAAATTTAATGAATTTAAGTACATTAATAGTAAAGCAAATCTCATACTCATTTCTTGAACTAGAAAAGATGAAAGGGATGAACTTCTCTAGATTGTGCTATATGTTTTCAAAGATTGCTTCACAAAAGATCTCTCATTCAAGGATTATCCATTTTCTATTTTCTCTAATTTCTTTATTTTTTCTTCTGATCATTTAATCATTATGTTATTTGCTTTAGAATAGAAATTACCACAAGTTTTATTGAGCCATTAAGCAAGGTAGAAATTGCTTTTGAAAATTGTCTTTTCTCTTTTATCAGTAGTATGATTCGGTTTATAAGATTTCAAGGTCTGAAATTATATATAAAAAAAAAGATAGAAAAAAAAGGTTGTGAAGGTTTATTTATGTTTCTACATCTTGAAGAAGTCAAAATAATAGAGTGAAACAAGATTCAATAATTATATTAGTAGCTCTATTTCATTAAATTTGACGGTTTTTAATTTTTGATATGAATTAAAAAAATGATTAAATTACTTTAATTCTATAAAAAAAATAGGTTAATTGACTAATTACTGTTTATTTAATTGAAACAAAGTTTAATATATATATATATATCTAGACTGCACACCACGGTATACTTTAATATTAAGTGCATATACAGTCTGACAATAGATCCGGGTTCTAATCTCCTTCCCCCAATACTCAAAAAAGAAAAATATAAATATCTAGACAGGACATATAATTTGAATAAAATAATTAACGCTACTTTGATTTTCTAAAAATAAATCAAAAATAAAATAAAAATTGAGAAAAGGATTATTATGCCCTCTTGAAGTTGGGCCAAATATTCAACAACCCATGTTCTAACTTTGTATCCAAATTACTTGTGCAAAAAACATCATATAGCCCATCTTGCAGGCAAGTCAGCGCGCGTGCAAAGAGAAAGTGAGTGAAACAAGAAATTCCATAACTTGAAAAGAAAAGAAACAAACGAGTTACGACAAAGAGATAGCTATAGAAGGTGACCATAACGTCACAATGGTTGAGTTGCTAGAGCAGATAAATACGAGTGGAGATGTGTCAGACTACTGTGACTCAACGATGCAAGATCCCCTGTTTGTGTTAACTTTCTATTTTTTGGCTACTCTTCATTCTACTATGTAGATTATCATCTTTCTCACATATATTTTTACTTTTTTACAGTGTTCATATCAACCACACGAAGGATTTCTGAAAAATGAAAAGTATCTTGTTCTTACTGTTTATCAGCTGGCAATCTGTTGCATGTTTTTCAATGATGAATTATCAATAGGATCACGAAAACAGAATGCCGAAATGTGGAAATACAGAAATGATATGAGAAAATAACATTTAAAATATAATTTTATACGGTAAAAAGGTATTTATATAAAAAATGGACACAAACGTTTTCAACATGTGAAAACGCCCATGGTTAGAAATTTTCATGCATAGTACGATCTATATCTGAGGTATTGTAATATCCAATTCCTTTCATAGTTAAGTATGAAAAGAAAAAGCTCATATTGACTAAATTAATAAACTATTCCATAATATTACATGGGGATTGATCTGTAATTTATGTTGCATGGAAATTAATGTTCAAGTCTTCGGTCAACACAGTAAGCCTTCTCAAAAAATAAAATAAAAAAAAAAGAAGAAAAATGTGAAACTAATAAAATTCATATTGTTATCCTATTAAATGTAGAAAGGTACCATTTCAGGGAAGGCACTAAGTGCATGAAACAAGAATAGACGTCTAAAATTTGATCACCATTATAGCAAAATGTGTAGAAAAAAAATACTTGGTGAAGATGATTAATACATATATAGAATGCCCATAACCTTCACTTATGCGAACAATAAAAATACCATGTGCACCATAAAATGCAACTGAATTGAATATTCCATCCGTTGTTAAATACTTGTCACATTTGAAATTTCATTCCTCTTAAAAAAATCATTAAATTTGTCTAAGTTATAATAAGTTATTTAGTATATTAATTATATTATTTTTAATTTAATATATCCAAACACCAAATCTTTTAGGAATTGAATAATAATTGTTGTTCACAAAAAAAGGGTAAACATGGAAAAAAATTTTATTACTCCTTAAAATCACAAATGTGACAAATATTTTAGAATATAGTACTTTCTCAAATGAGATAAATATTTAGAACGGTGGGAGTAATTTTCATTTAGACGAATATAGAGAAAAATAAATGAAAAGGAAAAAAAACTGAAGCAGATTGAGAATTGAATAGCCTCGATCAATTTTAAAATCAAAAGTCACAAGCAAGAAATATGTCAAACCCAAAAAAGTATCAATACAAACAAACAAAAACCTCATGATCTGCTACTTTCAAAGCATAAGAAAGATCCCTCAAGTAAAGCGAACCAAGTAAAGGGGAAGATATAGAACAGAAAAATAGAAAAAGAGTGAATCACAGCTAAATAAATGAGCTATGTGACTCTTTTTGTATAACTTATGGAGCAATTTGGCTACAAAGTTAAAATTCAAGCTTTTCATTTTATTACAGAATGGACCACTTTGTATGTGTAAACATTAGAATCCACCACTGGGGTACTTATAGAGAGGAAGGTGGGGTTCTAAGGTACAAAGGTGGGGACACTAAAGATTTCAACATTAATGACCTTGACTGTATTCACTATATTCGAATTCGTACTATGATACCGCAGTATGGTTATCCGGGAAACCCATGTATCTGATGGTTGCAAAGGGGAAAGGCTTTGAAGGATGAGTTACTTTTACTGAAGAATGATGATATCATCCATGAGATTTTGCTATCAAATTATAAGGATGATGAAAATGTGCATTTTTAGGTGGAGCATCATCTAGGTATACCTAAGGTTGTAGAGGAACCTATTACCTTGCCATCAATTGAGGTAAATGAACATGCAACAAGTATAACAGAGGTTGAAGATAACAGAGGTTGAGGATGCTGATGTTTAAAGAAGAAAGCCGTTATTAGTAACGGCTAGTATTAGCCAACGACACCGTTTCATTATAAAAGAAAGAAAGAAATTAAAAGAAGAAAAATGGTGTCGCACAGCTAATAAACGCAAGTGTCAAAACACATGCAGTACACTTTCTCCTTGCTGATAACAAAAACAGTTGAGGTAGCCCAACGGAACACGTCCGTTTCATTATAAAAGAAGAAAGAAATTTAAAAGAGAAAAAATGGTGTCGCACAAGCTAATTAAACGCAAGGTCAAAACACATGCAGTACACTTTCTCCTTGCTGATAACAAAAACAGTTGAGGAGTTGCAAAATCTGTTACAGAAAGAATGTAGAGAAAGAGAAAGATGAGTTTGTTAACAGATTTTAAGAGCTAAATTTTATGTGTCATTTGGTGTTTAAGAGCTAAATTTTATGTGTCATTGGAGTCCGTAAAGGAGTATAAATAATAGTATAGAGCATCTTGTGCTATGTAAGTTTTTGGTGAATTCTTATTCAGTATTGTAATCTTGCTCTGTTTTTAGTTCTTCTCTTGTAACTGTCGTTCTCTTCATCCTCTTATTGAATAAAATGTATTCAGTCAAGTTTCTTCATGGTATCAGAGCAAAGCTGCGCAGGTTTATTCAGTTTCTTTTTTGATTTGCTGTTTTTTTTTTCCTGCAACTATTACTAATTGATTCGGAAGTTTTCCTCTCTTTCTTTCAATCGATTGCTGTTTTCCTTGATCTCCTTGATCAGGTGTTAGTTCTTCTATCTCATTCTTAATCTTTGATTCTATCATTCTTACTTTCTTTCTTTAATTTTGTTAAAATGGCTATAAATCAAAATGACTGTTTGACGAATCCTTCTAATCCTTTCTATCTGCATCCAAATGAAACACCTGCTTTAGTTCTTGTTTCAGTTCCATTGATGATTACAACTATCATTCTTGGGCCAGAGCAATGAAAATAGCGCTAGCCTCCAAAAATAAGTGTTACTGGAGCGATACCTGCACGGAGCGATACCTGCACCAGTTGATCAGAATAGTGAATTGTATAATATCTGGAGCAGATGCAATACAATGGTGATTTCTTGGATCCAGAAGGCTGTGTCTCCAAACATTGCACAGAGTATCTTGTGGATAGACAATGCCTCAAAAGTATGGAGAGATTTACAAATCAGATTTTCTCAAGGGAATAATTACAGAATAGCTGATTTGTTAGATGAAATTTCAAGTCTTAAGCAAGGAGATTCCACTGTGAATGATTTTTACACACAGCTTAAGATCCTATGGGATGAGCTGTTGGTTCTTAGACCAATACCTGCTTGTACGTGTGTTAATGCATGTAACTGTGGAGCAGTTACACAATACAGAAGAAACGAGCAGTTACACAATACAGAAGAAACTTTGAGAATGAACAAGTCATAAGATTCTTAGGAGGCTTAAATGAGAGATTTGAGTCTGTTAAATCTAATGTGTTAATGATGGATCCTCTTCCTGATTTAACTAAAGTTTTCTCGATGGCAATACAGCAAGAAAGGCAGATTAATTATAGTTCACAATCTGAGTCAAAGATTATGCTCAACAAGTCTTATAGACCAAGTTTTGGTGCTAAAAGTTTTCCACAGTAGACATCCAGAGGACAAAGGTTTCCTGCACAAATTAATACAACAAGAAAATGCACTTTCTGCAATGGAACTAATCATACTATAGACAGTTGCTACAAGAGAATTGGCTATCCTCCAGGATTCAAGCCAAGAAACAATTACAATTCAGGGAGATCAAATGTGATTGCAAATGCAGCAGTCAATGCAGTTTATGGAGATCAACAGAATCCTTCTTATTATCAAAATGCAAGTGAATTTTATGATCCTAACTCTAATGTGTTTCCTATTCAAGCTGTGGAGAATAACTTCACAAACTACAAACTGTTAACAAGCAGTGCGCAAACTCAACAAGCAAAAAACTCAACAGCAACCATCTGAAGCAACTATTTCTTTTACACTGGATCAATATAACAAGATTATGACACTCATTAATCAAGATTCAGCAGATGGCACAGCACATACAATCAATAGAGAGCATGCAGTCAATAGCATCATGGCAACTAATGATCAGCAATCAGCAATTTCCATATCTAATCAAACACAAAAAACAGGTATATTAAAATCTGTGTCTAATTCTGTGTGGATTTTGGACAGTGGAGCTACAGATCATATATGCAAGTCTCTTGATATGTTTACAACCTTCAAAAGAATTTCACCAATAAGAGTAAAGCTACCAAATGGAGAATATCTATTAGCTCATTTTTCTGGCACTGTTGTTTTTTCAGAAGTATTTTTCCTTAAAGATGTGCTGTATATACCCGGATTTGCTTTCAATCTTGTCTCAGTTACAAGCCTTATTGCTCAACTACATTGTTACTCTTTCTCTATAATTGATCTATGCTTTAAATCTAGGAATTTCAAGACCTGGAAGATATTGGTCTGGAAGATGATTGGTATAGCTAAAGTGTTTCATGGACTCTACAAGTTGCTGCAAAATGAAGATCCTAAGAAGTTTACTGATGTTAGACAAAATAAAACAGTGCTGGGTGCTACTACATTGTTTAGTTCTCAGTGTAGTAATAACAATTTGTGGCATTTTAGATTTGGTCATGTTCCTAAGACTAGATTATCCATTTTATGTACTAAACATCCAGAAATTCATATGAATAAGACTGATTTACCTTGTGATGTTTGTCATATGGCAAAGCAGAAGAAGCTTTCTTTTCCTGTTAGTGTAACTATGCTATGTTTTTTTTTTTCTTCTCCAATCTTCCTTATTGATTTTTACACATGGGTGGGGGGGGAGATAATCTGGGTTCAGTTGGCACTGTTTTTGGACAGGCATAGATATTTTCGGACAGGGCATAGATATTTCTTGACTATAGTTGATGATCATACCAGATTCTTGTGGGTCTACCTGCTAAAAGAGAAAAATGAAGTTAGGCCTTTAGTCAAACAATTTGTTAAGATGGTAGCAACACAGTTTGACAAAAGGGTTAAAAGCATCTGATAATGGTGCAGAATTCTTGATGAAAGATTACTATGCAGCAGAGGGTATATTACATCAAACTACTTGTTCAGAAACCCCAGAGCAAAATGCAGTTGTAGAACGAAAGCATCAGCATATACTCAATGTCACAAGAAGTCTTTTGTTTCAAGCTAATTTGCCAAAGAATTTTTGGAATTTTGCTGTATTGCATGCCACTTATCTCATTAATAGAATTCTACTGCATGCCACTTATCTCATTAATAGAATTCCAACTCCACTATTGCAGGAATGCTCTCCGTATGAAAAACTTTATCATAGCCTACCAGATATTTCAACCTTAAAGGTTTTTGGGAGCTTGTGTTATGCCAATACTTTGCACGCTGGGAGAACTAAGTTGGAACCAAGAGCTCAAAAATGTGTGTTTTTAGGCTACAAAGAGGGTACCAAAGGGTATTTAATGCCGAATTTGCATACTAGAGGATTACTGGTTTCAAGGAATGTCATATTCTATGAAACTATTTTTCCTTATTCAGAAAAACAGTTTCAACCATTATTGCCTCAAGTTAATGACACATATGTAGATGCAGACTGTGTTCCTATGTTGCCTGCAGCAGATGCAGTCACTGCAGCAGATAGTCACTGCAGCAGATGTAGTTGATGCTTCTATGCAAGATAATGGCTCAAGAAGATCCACAAGGACAAGGAGAGCTCCTCAATACCTGCAGGATTATCATTGTAATCTGGCATATGCTAATCAAACTATGCCTATTGCTTCTACACAGCATTCTATTTCTCAAGTGCTTACGTATTCTCAGTTGTCTCCTTCCTACAAACATTTTATTTTAAATGTTTCTTGTCTTCAAGACCCAAAAACTTATACACAAGCTGTTAAACATCTTGTATGGAGGGAAGCTATGGATAAGGAGCTTGAAGCTTTGGCTTTAAAAATACCTGGATTGTGGTTCCTCTTCCACCAAATAGGGTGCCTATTGGTTGTAAATGGGTGTATAAAACAAAATTGAAGTTAGATGGTTCTGTAGAGACACTACAAAAAAAACTTCAAATTGCGACCGATTTTTGCGACCGACAAAAGTCGGTCGCAATATGGATACCAATTTGCGACTGATTGGTAAACAGTTAGCTAAAGTTACAACTATTAGACTTCTCTTATCTTTAGCTACAATGAAAGAGTGGTTTTTGGAGCAGCTTGATGTCAACAATGCTTTTCTTCACGGTGATTTGCATGAAGAAATTTATATGGAGGCTCCTTTGGGGTTGCAGGTTCCTGTTGGTTCAGTGTGTAAGTTGCAGAAGAGTTTATGTGGCTTGAAACAAGCTAGTAGACAATGGTTTCACAAGTTAACAGATTTCCTTGTTGCTATTGGCTATCAACAATCACAATCAGATCATTCTCTATTCACTAAATCAAAGGGGGAAAAATTTACTGCCTTATTGATTTATGTAGATGATATTGTTCTAGCAGGAAATGATTCTTCAGAAATTACCTCAGTCAAAGCTTCTCTGGATCAGTCAAAGCTTCTCTGGATGCCAAATTCAAGATAAAAGATCTTGGTAAGCTACGGTACTTTCTGGGATTGGAAATTGCTAGGTCAAAGGTAGGTTTACATATATGTCAGAGAAAGTATGCACTAGAGCTCCTGACTGAGTATGGAGTTTTGGGTGCTAAGCCTTCCTCCTCTCCTATGGATTATAATGTAAAACTGTCCAAAGATGATGGTGACTTGTTGAGTGATGTAACTGGTTACAGAAAACTAGTGGGGTAACTTGTAACATCCTAGTGAGTTGAGTTGAGTCATTTCATAGAGGTAAGTTGAGTTGTCAATACCTTGAGCCAATTTCTATCTGCACCAAGAACATCTCATTATCAGGCCTTGCTCAAGGTTCTCAGATATGTTAAATCTAGTCCTGGTAATGGTTTATTCTATAAAGCTAGTTCAACACCAAAACTCACTGCCTTTAGCGACTCTGATTAGGCTGGTTGTCCTGATACAAGGCGATCTATAACAAGTTATGCAATTTACCTAGGAGATTCCTTGATCAACTGGAGATCGAAGAAGCAGGTGACTGTGTCCAGATCCTCTTCAGAAGTAGAGTATCGAGCTCTTGCTGTTACAACTTGTGAGCTTCAATGGTTGAGCTATATATTGTCAGATCTTGGTCATAATTTATCTGCACCCATCAGTCTCTTTTGTGATAATCAATCAGCAATTTATCTCACAGCTAACCCTGCCTTTCATGAGCGATCGAAGCATATAGAGATAGATTGCCATTTTATTCGAGAAAAAGTTAATTCTGGCCTTGTTTGTCAATACCTTGAGCCAATTTCTATCTGCACCAAGAACATCTCATTATCAAGCTTTGCTCAAGGTTCTCAGATATGTTAAATCTAGTCCTGGTAATGGCTTATTCTATAAAGCTAGTTCAGCACCCAAGCTCATTGCCTTCAGCGACTCTGATTGGGCTGGTTGCCCTGATACAAGGCGATCTATAACAGGTTATGGAATTTACCTGGGAGATTCCTTGATCAGCTGGCGATCGAAGAAGCAAGTGACTGTGTCCAGATCCTCTTCAGAAGCAGAGTATCGAGCTCTTGCTGTTACAACCTGTGAGCTTCAATGGTTAAGCTATATATTGTCAGATCTTGGTCATGATTTATCTACACCCATCAGTATCTTTTGTGATAATCAATCTGCAATTTATCTCACAGCTAACCCTGCCTTTCATGAGCGATCGAAGCATATAGAGATAGATTGCCATTTCGAGAAAAGGTTAATTCTGGCCTTTTCATCTTATTGCCTATTTCTACAGAGCTGCCAGGCTTGTCTTGTATACCAAAATCCCTTTCTCCTTCTCGCTTTTAAGTTTCTGCATGTCCAAAACTGGGCATGTCTTGTTTCTCATGTCCAAACTGGGCATGTCTGATATCCATGGCCCAGCTTGCGGGGGGGTAACAGAGGTTGAAGATAACAGAGGTTGAGGATGCTGATGTTTAAAGAAGAAAGCCGTTATTAGTAACGGCTAGTATTAGCCAACGACACCGTTTCATTATAAAAGAAAGAAAGAAATTAAAAGAAGAAAAACGGTGTCGCACAACTAATAAACGCAAGTGTCAAAACACAAGCAGTACACTATCTCCTTGCTGATAACAAAAACAGTTGAGGAGTTGCACATCTGTTACAGAGAATGTAGAGAGAGAAAGATGAGTTGTAACAGATTTTAAGAGCTAAATTTTATGTGTCATTGGTGTCCGTAAAGGAATATAAATAATTGTATAAGAGAATCTTGTGTTAAGTTAGTTTTTGGTGAATTCTTCTCTATTCAGTATTGTAATCTTGCTCTGTTTTTAGTTCTTCTCTTGTAACTGTCGTTCTCTTCATCCTCTTATTGAATAAAATGTATTCAGTCAAGTTTCTTCAAAGTACAAACTCAACTCTACTAAATGCAAGTCATGATTATGGTATGAATGAGAGTGCGTCACGTTTGAATGATGGTGGTTGTGGAACTAATGAGAGGGTTAGTTGTCAAAAGGGGAGTAGAGACGGAAATGGAAATGCAAGTGGTGTGAACATTGGGATAGATCCTGCTCTTATGGATACATATGAAGAGGTTGAAGTTGATCCTGCTTATTAATCAGACTTTGGCAATTAGGAATTGAGGGTTGCAAGGGAAAATGTAAGAAACTCTTTTGCAAATAATGATGATGAAGACAATACAATGAAGAAGGCCAAGGTAATAAGAATGAAAATGACGTTGAGGGAGTTGAAGAAGAGCATCTAATTGAGGTTTCAACTTATGATTTATAGCAAGGGAGTAATGATCATAATGTAATTGTGGGAGCTAGTTCTGATTTTGATGATGATGTTGAGGAATTATTTAGGGATGAGGGACATAGAAATATTAGAAGGAAGAAAAGATTTAGATTGTCATAAATTCCAGATACTCAAGTTCTAGCTTTTATTGTTGAAATGGTTTTTCAAAGGTGCATCATAATTTAAGGAAGCATGCACAAAGTATACTGTTATAAGAGGTGTTGAGGTTGACTTTTGGAGGAAATGAGAGTGATAGAGTTAGAGCTGCATGCATATTTGATAGTTTTCCATTGATGCTCTTTGCTTCAATTGATGACAGCTCTAATTATTTTGTTGTTGAAACTTATGTGCATCGACATAAGTGTTTTATGGTATGTAGAAACAAGAGAGTCACCACAAAATTCTTAGTTGGTTATTTTAGGGAAACAATCAGGATGTATTAAAAATAAAAGTTAGTGAAATGATCACACAGGCTAAAAAATACCTTAGAGTCAATGTGGCCTATAGCATGGCAAGAAGAGTAAAAAAGAAGTTGAAAGTGAAATTTGAAGGTGATCCATTTGAAGAGTATGACGCTCTTGAAGATCATGCTAAAGAGATAAAGGTGTCCAACTTTGGATCAAGTGTTTTTTCATGCAAACTCTAAAGATGTTAAGTTTGCAGCCTTTTATGTCTGCTTTGATGCACTGAAATGTGGATGGAAAGCTGGATGTAAACCAGTCATTAGAGTTTATGGGTGCTTCTTGAAGACTTACTATAAAAGAGAGCTCACTATTGTCGGTAGAGATGCCAATGACCAATAAGTCCCAATAGCTTGGGCTATTGTGAAAGTAGAAAATTGGGCCACAAGGAGCTAGTTCCTTAATCAATTGAAGAAGGACCTTGGACTTGAAGGAAACAAGGATTTGGTCATTATTTCTCATATGCAAAAGGTTATAATCTCATACCACACATTTTTTGTTGTTTAAGGTTTCTATATGGTTGCTGACTAAATCATTTATTTTATATTATTTTAAATGTTCAAGGATTAATTGCTGCAGTAAAGAATGAGTTACCTCTTGCTGAACATAGGTAGTGTGCAAAGCACATATGTAGTAGATGGTAAAAGAAATGGAAGGGGGATGATTTAAGAAATCAATTTTGGGTTTATGCTAAGAGCACATATTGGCAAGAATCTCAAGATCAACCTGAAGTCATGAAGGTTTTGCATCTGGTTCAGTGAATGAGTTATTGACCTAGCCTCCTCCAAAGTGGTGTAGGGCCTATTTTAGCATTGCATCTAAATGTGACACAGTTGACAATGACATGTGTGAGAGCTTTAATCGAAATATCTTAAATGCTAAGAATAGACAAACTATCACTATGTTGGAACAAATTAGAGTTGACATGATGAAGATGATTGTGCAAAGAAAGGCAGAGGTAAATCCATGGATCACAAATGTCAGTCCAACTGCAGTTGAGAAGTCAGAGAGAAATATATTAAGAGCATGTCATTGCCATGTTGAGTTCAATGGAGATGATGGTTTTGAGATATCAAAGGGGAAAGATAGGCATACAATGTAAATGGTTCATAGGCAGTGTACATGTTAGTCATGGGACTCATCTGGCATCCTATGTGATGGGAGCGGGTATAAAGCGGAAACAACCCTTAACGAAACCATATGAGGCAAACTAAAAATATTATCGAACAAATCAATAAACTGACCTCTCTAACGAAAACCATAATGAGGCAACTAAAAATATTAATTCGAACAAAAAATCAAATAAAACTGAACCTCTTGCAAAGCGCAAGAAATTGCTCACCGGTCTTCTTATCCATGAGATCTTAGAGTCACCCACGATCGATCTCCATAGATCCCTAATTATACTCTCTTTTGGAACTCTCTGAGTGGCAAGAGAAGAAATAACATCCGTCCACTTATATTCTTAGGGTTTTCCAATTACTTATAATTAAAAAAAAAACTCTTCGATAGAAGATAATTTTTTAATAATAAAATAAAAATTAATAAAAAAATTATATTAAATTAAATAAATATCAATTATTTTAAAACTAAAATGAAATATTCATATATTTAAATACAACACCTTTAAAACTTATCCAAATAATATAGAGGGCAACTAAACAGAGAGGACTGGCAAGATAAAATAAAATCAGGCTACTATTATTAATAAGAAAACCTATGATAGGACCAACATATATTCATTATTATAAATTAATCATGAAATTATTAATCACTAAAACTCATGAACTAGAACCCTTATTATTTTACAATTCCACAACTAATAAATTAAAATAATGGTTTCCCCACGTTAAGATTACAGACTGCTTCATTTAAATTAACTACTGACAAATTTATTTAAATCACAATATAACTTAAGATTGTCGCTCAACCTTATTTACATGTGTTCGGATTCAATAATCCACCTGCAGGGTTTCACTATGAAAAACCTTATAAAGCTTACTTAAAGTGCATCATCAATCTCTAAACCGAGACATGGTCTATCATGAATTAATATTTCACAAACACGAAATATTTCGTTGGCCCAATTCACCGAGAATATATTTCAATAATGAACTTCACCCTTTAAGAATCAAGCACAAGACAATCAATGTTTGGCTCATATTAAAAATAAATCTCAAGATTTAAGACAATAATCATTTATTTCTAATGTCCAGAGATATGGATTAACATCAGTACTAAACATCCATTCTTCTACTTGGGGTCCAATTAAATACATACAAAATGTTCTAATTCACAATTATTGTTGCATATGCTAATAACATTTAAATTTAAATGGCAAATTTCCAATTAAATACAAAGAAATAATTGTTCAATTAGAAAATCATTCATAGCGTATACTATTACATATGCATGGTTAATTAGTATATCTCTATCAATCTCCCACTTAGACTTATAACCATGCATCTATAATTTTAACTCCCATTCTTCTACATGGACTGTCAAAAAGTCTTTGACTGGTAAGCTTTTTTGTAAAAGGATTGGCCAGTTTTTTTCCGATGCAAATCATTTTCCACTACCACATTCTCCCCTTTGGAACTATGTCTCGTATCCAAATGGATTACTTCCCTTCTCAATGTTTTTGCCCTTTTTATGGCTCCCGTTGGCTCCTTCGAGTTTGCAATGCCCCCCACTATTATCACAAATAAAGTGTAATAGGGCAATTGCACTGAAGAAACTACGCCTAGATCCATAAGGAAGTTCCTAAGCCATACAGCTTCCTTTGCAGCTTCAGAAGCTGCCACATATTCAACTTCCATGGTGGAGTCAGCAACACAAGTTTGCTTAATACTCCTCCAACTTATGGCTCCACCTCCCAAGACAAAAGCATTACCAGAGGTTGACTTCCGAGAGTCCTTATCAGTCTGAAAATCCGAATCTGTATACCCAATGGGTACAAGATCGTCAGATTGATAAACTAACCTATAATCCCTAGTCCTTTTCAAGTACTTGATAATATGCTTGACTGCAGTCCAGTGTTCTCGCCCAGGATTAGATTGAAATCTGCTAACCATGCCAACAGCAAAACAGATATCAGGTCTGGAACAGATATCAGGTCTGGTACACAACATTGCATACATAAGGCTTTCCAACTGCAGAAGCCATATGGAACTGCCTTCAATTTCTCTATCTCCTCAGGTGTCTTAGGACATTGCGGTCCTCTAGATAGGTGATTCCATGTCTTTGGTCCTTAGATAGAGTGATTCCATGTCTGAAGGGAAGAAAACCCTTCTTGGAATCCTGCATGCTGAAACGAGCAAGAATGGTATCAATAAAAAGTGCTTGAGATAAGCCAATCATCCTTTTCTTGCGATCTCGCATAAGCTTAATCCTAAGAATATGAGCAGCCTCTCCCAAATCCTTCATATCAAAACGTTGGGACAGCCAATTCAACATACCTACACAATTCCCTATAAGCAGAATATCATCCACATATAGTACCAGAAAAACAACCTTACTACCATTCCATTTCTTATACACTCAAGACTCATCATGACACTGATCAAAGCCAAAACTTTTAATCACTTGGTCAAAACAAGTATTCCATGACCTAGATGCTAGTTTAAACCCATAAATGGACCTATTCAATTTGCAAAGCAAATTTTCTTGTCCATTGTTTATGAAACCTTCTGGTTGCTTCATATAGATACATTCATCAAGACTTCCATTTAGGAAAGCTGTCTTGACATCCATTTGCCAAATCTCATAATCATAATCATAATGAGCTGCACTATGGATAAGAAGAGTTCTAATAGGACTTTAGCATTGGCTACCGGCGAAAAGTTTCCTCATAATCGAATCCCTTCTTTCTGAGTAAACCCGTTTCGCAAACAAGCCTTGCCTTATAAATTTTGCCTTTACCGTCTATACCCCTCTTTTCTTATAGATCCACTTGGCATCCGATGGGTTTACCCGTCATGTGGTTTCTTTCAGGTGGTTCTACAAGTTCCCAGACTTGATTAGAGTACATGGACTCCATCTCAGATTTCATAGCTACAAGCCACTTATCAACATCTTTATCTTATAGTTCTTCATCGTAACAGACAGGTTCAATAGTCACTTCTTCAGGGATTCTATCAAAAGCTTCTCCCAAAAGTGTATATCGAACCGGTGATTGTCTAATTCTCCCACTACGACGAAGTACTACAGGTTCTGCAATCACACCTTCATTTTGTTGTGGCTGTAAAGCCGGCAAGTCCATGACTGGTGGGACTACATCTTGATCATGTTCTGGAACTTCAACATGTCTGTCATCACCAGAGAGCAATGAAATGTTAAAGCCCAACATTGGGCTCCTGTATATTTGGATTCAACAGCTACACTTCAGTTCTCACTAACTCACTACTTTCGGTCGGTAGTGAATGTTTAGTACTGAATATTCAGGCTGAATGTTGATTTACTGGTTCGACTTAAATTTCTTTCCAACACGGACTAGGCAATGGAATCTCAGCTCCAACCATTTGATGGGTTAGGTTGTTGTCTAATGGAAAAGGTATCTAGGTTGGTATATTTTTCCTCTCCAATTCATACAAGGCTAATCGACTTTTGGGAATATGGTTTTTAATATAGTTCTTTCCTCAGAGTAATGTGCATTGGTGCTAACAATATGACCGTTTTATCTTGAGAAACTATAAATTAAAGCACCTTTCGTTCCTCATAGGTATCAAATAAAGAAGCATAAGTCTGTTTTTGATTCCAAACTTATTCTGCTTTTCTCCTTTCAGCACATGGGGCTGGGACAACCCCACATCCGAACATGGCTTTAGATTGGGCTTCTCGCCCAGTCCGCCCAGTCCACAGTTCTGTAGGAGTTTTAGGTACTGACTTAGATGGAACCAAATTCAGAATATATGTTGTTGTTTCTATGGCATACCCCCAAAACGAAATGGGCAAATCTGAATAACTCATCATTGATCTAACCATATCCATAAGCGTCCTATTTCTTCTTTCTGCTACACCATTATGTTGTAGCATACCAGGTGTAGACAACTGTGAAGTAATTCCTTATTCTGATAAATAAGTAATGAATTCTCTAGAGAGGTATTCGCCACCACGGTCAGACCGTAACGACTTGATATATTTTCCATGTCGTTTCTCCATTTCTGCCTTGAACTCTTTGAATTTCTCAAGAATTTCTCAAAGCATTCAGACTTACGACGCAACAGGTAAATGTATCCATATCTTGAATAATCATCTGTGAAAGTCTCAAAATGCTCAAAACCACCCCTAGCTTGGACACTCACTGGACCACACAAATCAGAATGAATTAATTCAAGTACATCATTAGTTCTATTACCCTTTATAGGAAAAGGCCTCTTAGTCATTTTACCTTCTAAACAAGCCTTCCACTTTCAATAGAAACTCAATGATCCATCCTTGACCAACCTAGAAAATCCTATCTAATTAATATACCAAGCCTTAAATGCCACAAAAATAGCGTATGACTAAAATTCAATAGGACGTTTTTCTTTTCAATGGAACAATGACATCAAAGTTATTAACTTCAAATTAGGGAATTGCAGTTCAGTAAACTTTGAGAATAAAAAACAGGTGAAACTTTGAGAATAAAAAGATCATCAATCATTGAGCCAGAACATATCATTTGTTTTCTAAATTTAATAACGACAGAATCATCATAAAATTCATAAAAACAAACCGAATATCCATTCTTACTCAAACTAGAAACTGAAATTAAATTCCTTCTAATTGAAGGTACATATAAAACATCCTTCAAAAATAATGTTCTATTATTCTCAAAATTCAAAGAAACATTTCCTATAGCTAGAATTGCAACTTCTGTGCCATCTCCCAGAAAAATGCTTACATCTCCTTTATTTAGCTGACGAGTTACCTGAAACTCCTGCAATGAATTGCAGACATGATTAGTGGCTCCAGAATCTACACACCATTGGAGTGTAGTCAACACCGCTAAACAAGTTTCAACTATCATTCAACTATCAGCATATAAAACAGAGACATACCTTGCTTCTTCTTGGCTAACCATGTTGGAAATTGTGACTTCCAGTGCCTAGGTTGCTTGCAATGAAAACACTTACCCTTAGGCTTTTTCACAGCAACACTTACACTAGTAGATGCAGCACTTGTTTTAGGCTTAGCCTTGTGAGCATTTTTCTTCTTCTTACCCTTGTTCTGGGCAGAAGAAGAACCTCGCTCACACAATAGGTGCAGCTCTTGCTTAATGATTATCTTAGCAAGCCACCAGCTCATTCAGCAATTAGACAGAGGAAAAATCCATCTTATTCATGTTTATAGTTCAACAAACGAAACTGCTGAAAACTGGCTGGCAAAGTGTTCAAGATCATTTCTATCTGTGTAGCATTGTCAACCTCAGCACCAAGAACCTCCATGTTATTCAGAAGACTCATCATCTTCAAGACATGAGTTCTAACTGGGGTCCCCTCCTCCATTTTGGAAGTAAGAATCTCCCTCAGTGCGTTTTGCCTTGCTGCACTAGTTTGATCTCCAAACATCTCCTTGAGATTTTCGAGCATGTCAAAAGCTGTGTCCATCGTCTGATGCTGATGTTGCAAAACATTTGGCACAGAAGCCAAAATGTAACATCGCGCCATCTCATCAGCTTTAACCCATTTCTGGTAAGCTCTGGTGACCTCCTCAGAGGCACCCTCACCGGGTTTTTCTCACCGAGTTTTTCAGGACAAACTTCAGTAAGCACAAACTGATACTCCTCAGCAGTAAGCAAAATGTCCAAATTCCTCTTCCAGTCAACATAGTTTGGACCCTCAAGTTTATTTTGGGTTAAGATGTTTGCAAGGGGACTGAATGATGCCATTTCTATATCATGCATTAAACAAAATTAGCATATCAATAATAAACATTGAATAAATAAATCAAAAATTGGCAAACATTACAACTTGATATCAACAATTCAAAAGAAAAAAAAATACACATTCAAACATCATGCAATTAGCACATTCATGAATAGCAACCTCGATGGGAGAATTCAACCAATCACATGTTTTGCATATTATAATTAGATAAGACCGGCACATACTACTCGATGGGAGATAGCATGCCTCTTAAATTAACATTAATGTGTGAGAAAATATTACATCTGATTCATGTCACTAATTAATTTACTCAGATGGAGAGTTAAATCAATACAAACAAATTAGACTAGTTCAGTAATTATATTAAAACATGACATCTTCCATGGGGAAGAAATGCAAATAATTATAACTAGAAAGTAATAAAAAACCACTCACAAATTAATTCATATAATTAAAATAAATTAATTATAATCAAAGCTTGAAGTCCTCAAGCTGTGGGAGCTGGAGCTATTAGAGGAATGGAATATGGAAAAAGGAGCAATGCCTAGTCTGAAACACCTAGAGATTAGACACTGCATAAATTTGAAGATGCTTCCTGATGCACTGCGATGCATTGACACCCTCCGAGAAGTAGAACTAACAAAACTGCCAATGTTATCATCAAATAAAACAGAAACTATTGGGCCAAAGAAACTATTGGGCCAAAATTGCAAAAACCGAAAATAGTCTAGGCAATTTTAATAAAATCAGAAACAATCAGGGTCGCTTTATAATTTAAATAACTCTAGGGGGCCAAAATGGAATAACTGATACTTTCTGGGTCAAAATATAAAAAATTAAAGTCCAGGGGTTAAAATATAATAAATAGAAGATCTAAGGTCAAAAAAATAAAAACTTAAAGATCAGGGGTCAAAATATAAAATTTAAAAAATGGAGGGACCAGATGGGAATTTTGGCAAGCAGCAGCTTCTTTTTCACGAAGAAGCCCTAGCCGCCGCCCCTTTTCCCTTCAACCTCCATTAATGCCGCTGCCCCTTTTTCTTTTTTTTTTGTTGCCCCTCTACTGATCTTCAAAACAAAAACCAAATTTTGTTTTTTCTTGCCCCTCTCCTATTCATCGAAACAAAACCCAATATATATATAAACTATATATAATATATATATATATATATATTATATATATAAATACTATAATATACTATATATATATATATTAATGCCCATTAAAAAACCACAGTTTCAAAAAAATTTGCTATCAGTTACTGCCACTTCTGCTGCTACCTTCCTTCAAAACACTCTGGAAGCTCTCCTTAACCATGTTCCACCAATCAAACAATTCAAAACAGTATTATAGATACACGATGAAACATCGACAAAATAGCCCACCATCCATTACAAAATAGCCACCATCATACAGTTTCGTATGGCTCTGATACCAATTGATGGGAGCGGGTATAAAGCGGAAACAACCCTCCTCGAAACCATATGAGGCAAACTAAAAACATTATCGAACAAATCAATAAACTGACCTCTTGAAGCACAGAATCGGTCACCGGTCTTCTTTCCAGAGATCTTGGAGTCACTCACGATCTTCTGCAGTAATCCCTAACTATCTCTCTTTTGGAACTGTCTGAGTGGCAGAGAATAGAATAACGTGCGTCTCACTATCCTTAGGGTTTTCAAATCTTATATTAAAAAAACTCCCTTTGATAGGAAGATATTTTTTTTTAATATAAAATAAATTAAATAAAAAAATTATTTAATTAAAATAAATTATTTAATTAAAATAATTATCAATTATTTTAAAACTGAATAATTTATCTATTATTTAATACACCCTTAACTTTCCAAATAATTAGGGCACTACAGGGACCTCAGGAATAAAATAAATCAGGCTACTAATTATAATAATAACCTATGTAGACCAACATATTCTTATTATAATTAATCATGAATTATTCCACTTAAAACTCATTGACTGACTCCTTATTATATTTTACATTACCACAACATAATAAAGCAATAATTGTATTCCCTCACGTTAGATTACAAGATGTTGTCATTTAAAATGATGCTGTCATTTAAATAACTTACTGACAATTTATTTAAATCACAATATAACTTTAAGATTGTCGCTCAACTTATTTCATGTGTATTCAATATCCACCTATAGGATTTACACTATGAAACCTTATAAACTTACTTAAAGTGCATCATCAATCTCTAAACCGAGACATGGATTCTATCATTAATTAATATTTCACAAACACAATATATCTTTGCCCAATTCACCGAGAACATTATTCCAATAATGAAACTCACCCTTTAATGAATCAAAGCACAAGACAATCAATGTTTGCTCATATTAAAATAAATCAAGATTAAGAACGATAAACATTATTTCTAATGTCCTAGAGAATGAGAATATGTTTAACAGTCATTACTAAAAATAACATACCTTACTCTACTTGGTCCAATTAAATACTATCAAAATTGTACCTAATCACAAATTATGTTCCTATTGCTTAATAACATGTATTTAATATTTATTTAATGCAAATTTCCAATTAAATACAAAGAAATAATTGTCAATAGAAAATCATTCATAGCTATACTATTACATATGCATGGTTAATAGTATACCTCTATCACTATGTCCACATGCACTATGTCCTGCGTACAATAAGGAAAAGAATAGTTTGGAATATGTGACGCCATTTTACAGCAAAAAAAAAAAATATTGTCTTATAAATGGTCTCTATAACTCGTGAGGGGTAAAAGTTTGTGGCCAAGGACTGGCAGGGGTCCCATTCAACCTCCAGAAGCCTTCAAAATGTTTGGTAGATCCAAGGGAAAAAAAAGAAAGGATCCAGAGGAACCTAAGAAATCTAAAAAATTGTCTAGGAGAGGATTCAAACGAGTGGTTCTGCATGCAAAGAAAAAGGCCACAATAAAAAGGAATGCAAAAATAAAGGCCTTTTTACTGAAAGTAGTGATATTATAAGTTCTCTATTTTATTAAAAATCTTCAAGGGCCTATATCCTGGTATTATCTATAAAAAGATTAAAAATGAGTTAATGTGTTTTATGCTGAATGAGATTATTCCTCCTGTCAATGACATTCCATCTCTGGATCCTTTAGTGATCAAGGAATTTGCTCCATTTTTGGATCTTGCAAAAATGACACAGGTTATACTTGTCACTTTACCTAATCAAAACCAAAATGGATTATTGAAATCCAAATTTATTAATTAATGTTAAATTTAAAAATTATTTTAATCCATAGTATCGAGATCTTGTGCCTTTAAGGGAACCATATAGTCATTTCTATTACAGAAATAAAATATTTAGTGTGTTTATATGTATATGCCAAAATGTAAAATCTATTGTCTTGCAATTCTTTGGCAAACTAGATTATGTATAAATCATATATATAGTAGTAAAGACAAAGTCTTGAGTTTTTTTTTTTTTTTTTTTTTTTTTTTTTTTTTATAATTTTCTCTTTCTTTCATATATTATTTTTATTTTAATTTAAACCCTTTGAATTTAATGAAAGAAGACTGTTCCATTTTTTTTTTTTTTTTTTTTTTTAATAATTTCTCTTCTGTCATATATTATTTTTAGTTTTAATTTAAACCTTTGAATTTAATGAAGAAGATGTTCATATTTTATAAATAGAAATAATTTGATAGTGTAGGCCTTTCCAAATGAAAACCTTGAAAGTATTAGATAGGAGAAGGGGAGGATTTTTAAAAATAATTACCATTATTTCACCATCATACTTTTCATATTATATCATTTCTAAACATTTAATTATTGGTATAACTAATACACCACTTCATTACAAAATTATTTTTGCAGAAGAGCACAAGTAATTGCAGACCACCTACTGCTACAAAATAATCTATTGCTAGATAAGCTGGAATGTGAGTTTTTTTATGCTGTATAAATTTTGAGATGCTGTAGTTATAAATTTGAAGATAGTAAAGGGCTTTTTTAAATAATTCAATGTTTTGGTTATGCAGCTTGGCATATGGAATAAGGAGGTACTTAGTTCTAGTAATCCAATTCCATCTGACCACAAAGGAGGATTACCATTGATCCTCCTATGAATATATATGAGCCTAATCATAAGCATGAGGAGTTTCAAGCTGAAGGGCTGAGGTGGAATGGAGGGGTGAGCGTTTAGTTTGACCAATTCGGTCAATTCAATTAATTTAGTCAATTAAATTTGGTGAATAAATGTTCGTAAAAAATTTGGTCAAAGAAAACTAGATTTTCGGTAATCAGTTAAAGTTAACTAACTTAATCAAATTAATCAACTCTTAAAACTACTACGTTGTTTTGATTAACTAGATAATAAAATTAAAAATTAAAAATATTTCAGTTGTTAGTTGTTATTTTGATTAAATATTAATTAATAATTTTGGTATTTATTTCGGTTAAAGTCAGTTAATCATAATTTTCGGTTAAATTCAGTCAGTTAATTCAGTTTTCATATTTTTTTAACTTCGGCGCAATTAATGATTAAAATTATTCAGTTAAAATGATTCGGTTAAGTTCAGTTAAAAAATTAATTCGATTAAGTAAAAAGAATTCACTAAATTTATTTCAATTCAAAATGTTACTCAAATTGACCAAGTTGGTAGAATGTGAATGTTCACCCCTCGTAAATACATAATAGTTTCTACAAACATTGGGATCGAAACTATTTATAAATACATCCATGATTTAGATGTATAGACTAAATTAAAGAATGATGATTCGTAACCATCCACGTCTTCCCTTTCTTATTCCATGTTCCTACAATTTTTTCTTCTTTATTTTCTATGAAACAAAGATAGATGTCTATCAAAAATAATGCAATGCAAGTTAAAGAAGGAACACAAACATCATGAATATCATGAAATATACCCTCTAGCTACCTGTAAACATATGAATCTTGCAATCAGTAGCAAGGAAATAAAACCTTCTTCTTCTTTTTCGTATTGCTCAAACATAGAGATCATGTAAAGCTATTCACTATTAGAAGTAGACATCATCAAGATTTTCACGAGAAAGAGACTGTCTTGCAAGTTCATGCAAAGAAAAATCATCAATAAGAAGCTCACAAGCTGGTATCTCCATATTATTTATGGCAGTGGTAGTAGTAGTTTCCTTCTCACAAGACCCAGATGGGAAAAACAAATCATCAAGTATTGATGATGAAACCATATATTTTTGCTCTTGTTGCTGCACTACTTGTTGATGGTGCAAATATTGCTTCTCTGCTTGTTGATCATAATCATAACTAGTAGTATTATAAGTGTTGCTAAAAGGAGCTATTCCTGTAGTTCCAATAGCACTACCATTTTGTACACTACCCATTTGAAAATTCAAGTTGATTGGACCTTTGCGGCTTGAAAATGAACTAGTTTTGCTATGACAACCTGTAAATTGTTGAACTAAAGCTCTAAAATTGCTAGTGTTAGCATTTAATAGGGTTGTGGGTGTTTTCTTTGAAGTCCTAGACCTCCTTCGGATTGGCTTCGAAATTAAACCCTTATTAGGGATTGATTGATGATTAGGGCTTGATGACGATGTTGTACTTGTAGCTATGGTGGAATCAGAGAATCCGAAGGAAGAAGAAAGTGAAGTATGGCCATAAATGGTGGTTTGATCATAAAATTGAAGCCAGTCACTAGAGGTAGGCATAGTCTGACTTACTATTATGATATGTTTGGGCTTAACAATTGTATTATATATATATATAGAGAGAGAGAGATAGAGTAGAGACAAGCTTCTTCCAGTCAAAGTAAACTTGCTTATACGACTATTCATTTAGGAAGAAAAAGAAAAATAGAAAGAGAGAGACTTGGAGATGAAGGAAATGTTGTTTCCTGGAAGTAACATACATTTGTTCATTTCAAAGATATCTCCCCGTATCAGAATTTAACATCACCTTTAGACTTATATATTAGGTTATTTTCTTTGGAGCCTCTTAAGGTAGTCTTTGATTCTTTGGTCAAAAAAATTGCTTATAATGTTATATTACATATATAAATATCAGAAAAGAAAATAAACTTTTTGATTTTTATAGTTGGATAAGACTTAACTACATCTAGTGTAAAAAAAAAAAAAAAAAAAAAAAAAAAAAAAAAAAAAAAAAAAAAAAAAAAAAAAAAAAAAAAAAAAAAAAAAGCTTTTTTTTAAATATTATTATATTTTATCCTTTTTTTTCTTTATCGAATGGTTGGAAGTATCCTCGATACAATTAAAAACTTATTTTAATTGGTTTGATATATTGGTGTCGGAACTAGGAAAAATAGCAGGAGGTGAAAAAAATTTTCAAAATTTAGGGGACAAAATTGAAAAATTCACTATTTTATAAGTAAAATGGAAAATTTATTATTTTATAAGGTATGTTTTAAAAAAATTTAAAATTAGAGGGCCGACCACCACTGTTGGCCGACCCTTATTTCTTAATTGGATATATGAGTGAACTATTACACTAAAAGTATAGGTAAATCCTCTCCATCATAATTTATGTTTAAGAAATATGATTTTTACTCTGAAATTCGCACGTTTAAATCTCAATAATCAAGTGGAGAATGGGTTTTTGAATGTATTTTTAAATTTAAATTATATATATATTATTGTCAAAAACTAGGGTTAAAAAAACAAAATAATGCAGTTTAAGAAAAATTTCAATCAGTATAGTTTGGTTAGTTTTTTTCAGTTTTGCAGAAAGCGAGAAATTTCAGATTTAAAACTTCTAGACAATAAAAGTTTTCACTAATTTGGTGAGTAAAGTGATGCACGGATCTCCCAATAATTTTTTTTAAGGAACAAAATAATAAGGATTTTGAACAATCCTTAAATCTATTAAGGTAAAGAGATTTCTAAGTTTAAGTAAAACGATTATCATGTTCCTTTATAATACTGAAACCGTTAGCCAAACTGATGGTTTCCCTTTTGTACTCAAAACACCTTTACATCTTATTATAAATTAAATTTATTAAAATTGATAAAATATTCATATATTATATCTCTATTTAAATTTCAATAGTGACATAAAACAATAAAAATCATCAATTATTTAAAAATAATTATGACAGATACAAACAATGATTCTTTAGTTTGGATATATAATATGTAGTAGCTACAAGAAATATATATTTAGATATTGGTATGCTTGTTTTGTTATATGTCACGTGTTATTCTTATATTAATTGAGTGTTTATATTTGGATATATAACCTGCTACAAGAAACCAACAGAGGCTGACAACGCCAATCCTTATATTGAGTGTTTACACTAATATATTTCTGAGATTGCCCTAATCACTTTTCTTTTTTTAATTTTTTTCCTTCATATATGTATCCCATCATGTTTTATTATATGTGGGTGTATAAGGGGGGAGCTTCATGACTCCGATTATAATTTTTTTTTGAATAAATTATATTTTTTCTGAATTTAAAATAATAAAATAATTTCATTTCACCAATGAAAAAAATGAGTGTCTCGAAGGGAGAGAGGGGTGATGGCAACGGCATTTGAATCTTGCACATAGATAGTGATAGATAGTGACAACTTCATTTGGAAGGAACAAGTTTTCTTTTGACCAAAATTAATTATTCCATAGTTGAATTTCCTCGCATCATCATGCATATGGGATAGAACTGAAACGAGTTGCCCTTTTCATTCTTTTTTCCTTTTTTTCTAAGATAAAAATACCGTCTTTATTTTTTTTATTTACACAAACATATTTATTACACAAACAATTATATTATATATTATATATATATATTATAATATATACTATATATGATTAGACTTTATATATATAGGACTTGAATTTTTATTCCGTATTTCTTTTAATTTAGATATTTAAAAATATTCTTTTGATACTTTCACTAGGTATTCAGACTCGTGTCCGTTTTAACAGTCCATAAATCTGATTAATATTTATTCGTCTTCGGAAGCCGGGAGAAATTTATGTTGCAGAAGATCGAATTTATAACTAAGTTATGGTGATCAATCCTATTACTCTTTGCCATTAAGCTACAGCGACGGAACTAGGGGGACTAGGGGCGGTTGCCCCCTGGCTTTGATAAAATTTTTTAGATATGTTTGATGTTATCGATGAATTTCAGTGGCTTGGTCATAGGATCCGTGTTACTCAAATTGCTAGACTTGACTTCTATTTTCAATAAAATTTTTGTTTTTTAGTATAGTTTTATTACATAATTTTACTGTATGCAATTTTTTGTTTTTAAGTTTAGTTTTTTTACATAATTTTAGATAGTAAAACAATTTTAGTTAGTTTTTGCATAGATTTAGTTAGTTTAAATACACACACACATGCATATATATACATATAACATCTCACAATCTTCATAAATTATTTTTTCTTGCCATTAAATGACTTATATCATTAATTTTAATTTTAATTTTAGGTTATTTAATTTATATTCTTTTTTAAAGTTTAGCTTTGATATTGATTTCATTTTATGAATACATAAAATTCACGTCAATTTTAAAATATACAATAATATTATAAATTTATATTTCAATTGTTTATCATTAGTTATTTAATTAAAATTTAACAACTTAAAAAAACTTTAGAATTTTAAATTCATTAAATAAACACATATGATATTTAATTTATTCAAAGAGATGAATTTAATAATATTATAATCAATGATTCTATTTTAATAGTTTTTGAAAGATAATATGAAATTGAATTGATTGACTTTTAAAATTACAATAACATATTTAAAATTTTAAATACTAATAATTATTTTCATTGTAATTTCTAATATGTAAATGTTAGAAAATTATTTCTTTCCTATAGTCATTATGTACACTAAAAAATCTCTATTATTTTGTTGTTATTTATATTATTTTTATTAAAAAAAATTTAACCACATGTAATATATTTGCTTATGTAATTACATTATTTTTAGGTTTTTTTTTTAAATAAGGTTTATTTTTTTGTCTTAGTATAAAATGACAAATATATTTTCATCCCCTTTATACAAAAATACTGGCTCCATCACTGCCGAGCTACCTCCATTCAAATTAAATATTCTTTTAATTTAAATGGCTAATTTCCCCTTACTAATAAAGATATCTCTTTTTTGCCCTTACTAATAAAGATATCTCTTGTTTCAAATGATGTGTTCAAAATTAAACTTAGCTTTTTCTATGCACAATTAGTTAATTTTAAGTGTTCAGTCGGCAAAATCTCATTAAAAAGAAAAAAGTGATTATTGTTTGATTAATACAAGAATTCTATTAAGGATAAGCACATTCCACTGTAGAAGTAATTAGCTCTTTTTTATCTTTTCTTTTTAGTCTTCTAATCTTAATTTTAGTTTGGAGCTATAACTATTTAACACCGGTAACCCCTATCTCCTACTTTCTATTTTCTCTCTCTTTCTCTTCATCTTCTTTTATTTTTAATTTCAATTGAATCCGCACTTCTCTTTGGTCAAAGGGTGGAATAATAGGCGAAGGAATCCGCAAGCTATTGAATAAGAATCGCTTGATGCGAAAATGGAAGAATCCTCTTTTTTAACTTTAATAAACTTATATATGTTTTTATTATTATTGGTTTGTCTCCATATTTGGAGTTTTTTTATCCCTTTTTTTGAGGATTTATTCCTAAATAAAACTATGATATTTCATTTTATTTAGTTGGAGATTTTAGATCTTAATTTGCAGATATGGATATTCAAACAATAGAGCCCGGTAGTGCGATATGTTCCTCCATTGATGCTATTGACGCATAGTGGCCGAATCTCATCTGTGTTTGTCATTTATTGTAAATTCTTGAAAAAGTAATCTGGTTACAGAAGATCCAGATGAGTTATTATTTTGACATTTAATAGACTAATTACTGCCATAAAGATTTATATCTTATGTCAAGATCAACTCTAAGCAGAAAGATAATATATATATCTTATTTTAGGCACATTTTATAGTGACATTAATTATAGCCATAAGATATTTATCTCTATGTCAAGTTCAACTCGTTAAGCAGAAAGATATTAATATATATATTTATATAATATATATATATATATATATATATATATATATATATATAATTAATTTTTCTTGGTTAACAAGCATCAGATATATTAATTTTTTTGCTTGGTTAAAAGATCAACGAAATCTATTAGCTACTAATAGTAAAGTTCTATATATGGTATATATGATTATTTGTAATTCTTGATATTATTATTAATAAATTACATTTTTTTAAAAAAAAATACAAGAATTCTATTTATCTGAGAAAATAAATTTCCTAAATATAGGAGGCTAGCCCACTTTCCATATACAAGGGAAAGTACTTTCCCATCTTAAATGGTGAGAAAGGTAAATATCTATAGAATATTTAAAGTATAGTTAAATTAGTATCATTAATTATAAAATTATTTAAACAAATGTAATTTTTTACAGGTTATTATTCATAATACTCAAAACTATATAATTATTTTAAAGAAAAATCTCAGTTAGACTATCAACCATATCTACCTAGTACTTGAAGAGTTTTAATGAGAATCAGATTTGTATATTTATATTTTATATTAATTGGTTTTTGTAGAAAGTTTTACCCTAATACTTATATTAAGATTGTGTTCAATAATAGCTTCTTAAGTAGCTTTTAGCATTTTGACCAATTAAAACTTTAAACGCTATTTTTTATATATAGTGTTTGGTAATATAGTATTTAAACTAA